CCGACCTTTCAGGAGAATCTGAATTGAAAAAGGGCTGTGATGGGAATTGCAAGGTGTACATCAAAGACTTGATGGTTTAGTACTCAATAGATAAGGGCTGTCTGTAGCAACCTGTTTATGCTTTTTGGGCTGCAGCTTTGAGTATTTCCTAGTTAGGGAGCAAGAAAAGGAAATTTTACTTTGATGAGTTGTTTTTTTAAAGTTAACAATTGCTTCCATTCATGGTTCAGTCACTGCTGGGAACACAGTCATCTTTTCTCATAAAATAAAAGGGCAGTAAAGAAGCAGAATTTGATGTCATGGCTGTTAAGTTCTGTAATTTTATGCTTCCATTAATCAGAAAATGAATTAATACTCTCCCTATTTTCAACGTTGTAAAAGTCCATGTAATTTAATTGGTAATCTAAGGTCAAAAGCAAATTAACATAATAATATCTGAACTGTACTGTCCTGAAATCCCCTGATAGGCATCTTTCGGACTCCTGCTGTGACAAAGCTGTTCCCATTGGCTCTTGACCCTGTGAAAGTTGTTCCTAAACTAGAGAGAGAAATATTGCATGCATAGTTTATGAGTGCCTCTTTGGATAAGCAGTCCTTAGATGATGCCTTTGTGCTGGGGAGAAGGGCTGGTATTACGTGGGATATTGATGCTGCAGGGAGCCTGTATCAATCCTGGTGCTTGTTATGATTTCCCTTTCAGTTTCATAAACTTTGTTTAAAGTTTCACTGCTTTTCTTCAGAATCAGTTCTGATAATATTAAGTATTTCAAAGTTAAAAATGATTTTTTTTGAAGCTGGTTTTGTTTCTGGGTTTTTCTCCTCATTTTATCACCTGGTATCACCATAATCAGGTACATTGTGTTTCACTATTCAGCCTTTTGTGTCCTGAGCATATTTATTAGTTAATGTCTTCTCCATCTTTTTAAGACCTATTAGTTTGAAGTGCTGTTGTTACAAGTGCTTACATCTTGAGTTAAAACAAAACAAAACAAAAACCAAAACAAAACCAACCACTTGGCAAGGTGGCAGGAGGCTTGTAACAGCAGTGTAAGATGTGCATTTCATGCCATAATGTGTCTTTGTGTTTGAGAAGCTGTGGTCCACAGAGGTCTTGAGGCACCTGCCTCCTGCAGCAAGGTCTGGGCTTGTGTTTTCCTATGTTATAAAACACTGGGGAGTTCATGGAAACTTGGCTTGAGCTTTTTGACAAGTGGCCTGCTGAGATGAACTGGCTAATGTAGTAGAAATGGGGAAATAAAGACAAGGGTGGTAACCAGAAATGGAGTCACACTGGGAGTCCTTTTAGGATTTCTTTGATTATTTTTTTTAATGAGTATCTTCTGCATCAATCCTGAGGACACTTGAGCTGGATGCCTTTGACTGAAATACAGCCAGACCTGAGTCTGAACCTCGTGAGGTCTTCTCCTATACAGTTTCATCCCTGCATAGGCACATGGGAGCTGGTAAAGTCTTCCTTCTGCCTGGACTTGGATATCTCAGCTCAGCGTGTTGTACCAGGTGTGCACGAAGATTCCCGGTGGAGTTCGTTAGAAATAGATGGAGTATTTCTGCTTCAGGCTCACTGTTAATTAGATTTTTTTTTAATTAATGCAGCTTCTGGCCAAGTTGCAGGATGCCATTGCAAGGCTGGAGAATCAGGGTCAGGCTTCCTGTTGCTCTGCACGTGGGGAAGTCCTTTGAAAAGCAACTGCGGTCTGTGCTCTGCACGTTCAAGGTGGCAACAGAGTGTGTCAGGATAATGATGAAGGCATTAGGTTCTCTTGGAGAAAAGTCATTTAATTATTCATTGTGAACTGTTTGTTGAACTCTGCTTGCTAAGACTTACACATTTTGAGCTGGTTCATAAGCAGAGCAAAATACAGAAGGGATTCATATCTAAATACTGTATGACTGCCTGCTAATTATTTGCTTACTGATCCATGAAAAAAAACACATAACAGGCATTAAACCAACAATTGAAGTTAGCGTTAGTGAAGAGCTCTGCTGCATGGAAAGATATAAAAACATTAAGAAAAAGATGCTTTTTAGGAATAAAACACACTTTTTAAACAATTCTGAACTGACTTTGTGGGAGCCTAGTGAGGCTCAGATGCATGGACTAATGGTATTTTCTGTGTAATTGGGTAATATCTTGTTTTCCTTTGCATAGTACAAGCAAACCCAACAAAATACAAATATAAGGCTGAATAAATGCAGTGCTAGCATGAGTAAATGCAGTAAGGGAAGACAGGTGATGGTGGTTTATCAGATGGCTAAATAAAGACAAATGGCAAACTTGAAATATGCAAAAGTACAGGCACATTTTTGCACTTAGTTATAAGGAAAAAACCATTATGTTGTATATACTAGTATATATGGTGTAACCAGTTCATACTGTGTTAGGAACAGTTTTCTGCACAGGAAAGGGGCAGTGTATTTGACAGTAGGCCCTAGCAGAAGGGGAGCTCTGGAATGACTAGTTCTCCAGAAGAGAAGAGCAGGCAGCCTGACACGAAAGCTGTGCACACACAACTTCTGCCAGGCTCCTGTGTCTTACATGTTGACACCTACTTGTAGCAATGAAGGGGAACAATTTAATTACTTAAAAATTGGAAACGGTTCTTCTGCACTAGCTCTGGTAGGTGCTAAATAGGTAATGGCTGATCAGGCTGACGAGAGGCTTAGATTGGTAGGCTGATGTTTGCTTGGCAATGCTAGGCATGATACATCTCTGTGCCTCCAAGGTCACATACAACTTCCTTTAACAGCATTGTCTCTGTTCCCTGTGAGTGAGACCCTACTCACACCCTGAAACCCGGAGTCGTGTTAACTTCAGCACTCTTGATGGCATGGAGCCCTGCTAACTGGCAGCCAGAAAAGAAAAGGGGTCAAAGTCTGGTCAGAATCAAATCACTGATCATAATCATCCCAGTAATTACAGTAAAGTGCTGCTGCTGCTGGAGGGCGATGAGGGGTTTGTATACACCTCAGCTTCTCCTTTTTAACCTGTGAAAAAGCACCCTTTGACCTCTTCTGCTTTGGTGCATACTTCTTTCCTTACCCATTGGAGGGGGAAAAAACAAAAAAAAAGAGGTATTATTGAGCTCTGCAAAAAGAAATTAAATCCTGTGTTTGAATGCTGGGGACTGGAGGTGGGGAGGAGCAAACTGGATCCCTTCTCTGGTATTCTGAGTGCTCAGAACTGTCGCCCATGAAACAAAATCCTTTGGGTTTCAGGAGTTCCTGGTAGGAAGCAGAGTCAGTATCATATTATCTTTAGGAAAGCGTGAATGCTCAGGAGTAAAATATGTTCCACTAGGATCCTTCATATTTCAAACTTTTTTTCTTTGGAAAAAAGTTTCCATCCATCCAGTTTTGTGAAAGTATAACCTCATACTGCATTAGCACATGAGAACTAATTTTGATAGCTCTATCTAGAAAAGGCAAGTGGTAGAAATTATTACCTTTCAAATTACTTCTCTGTATCTGTCAAGAGTGTCTTCAAAGGAATATCCTGTTGTTGGAAAAGTAATGCAAAACAATTGAAAATAAAGAGTAGTGGTCATATTTCTGCAGGCATTTGTTTGCTTTCTCAGCATGTTTCTACATTTATGTTTCTTGGTATTAAATAGACTGCCAAGATAGCATTAGAATCACCCAAAATGGTAAAGACAAATCCAGTTGCTTAAATTAATGATGTTATATGAAGGCTGTTTTTCTGTGAATAGGAAGAAAAGGTACCAAAAAAATGAAATAAGAAATGGAATAGGAGTAGGGGGAAAAGTGCTTCTAGAGTTCTGCAAACTCCATTACATGTGTATCTAACGTGTGCTATCAGTGAGATGAAAAGCTGTCAATGCTGCTTGAAAAATTTGATGTTAGAATTATTGCTTTTACAAATCCACATAGCCCCTGTTCATGGCCAGCTGTTAGTCCTCAGATGTGAAAATGGTGACAAGTTACTGGGTTTGTCCCAGAATCTCATAAATTGATGTCATCTGGACTGTGAGCCATAATGAGGACACACTGAACAACTGAATGATGCACCAATGGGGTTTGGGACCTACCAAAGTTTTTTGTTACCTGAAGGATTAGAAAAGTCTCTGCATGTTTTTCGTCTGTGATAAAAAGAAAACAAAAACCCCTTTTTGTTCGGATAGACAGAGCTGTGCATTTGTACATCTATCCAAAGAAACAGGCTGGAGACAAAAGCAAATGAGATACTGGATTGAATCTCAGTGGCTGCTTAACTGCTGTGTCAGCCACCAATGAGAGCAGAAAACAAGCTCCTCAGAAGAAATGATCTTCCCATTTCAAACTTCCAGACTCCTCTGACCATTACATTCCTTGGGGATCCCTACTGGGACAAGACACTTTAGCATCCTTACTAATGACCTGGATGACAGGACAGAGCACTCTCAGGAGCTTTGCAGAGTGTACCACACTGATCATGTGGCAGGTCCACAGAGACCTTGGTAGGCTGAGGAAAAGGGCCGACAGGGACCTCCCACGGATCAGCAGTGACAAATGCCATGTCCAGCATCTGGGGCAGAAGAACTGCCTGGTGATCAAGCAGCACCTTCTGAGGGGCTGACAGGCTGCAGAACAGCTTTGCAGAAAAAGAGCTGGGGTGCTCTCATTATTTCCTATTGCTCTCTCAAAGAGCAATTAGGCTGTGGAGAATGTTTTTTGAAAAAGTCATAAGCAAAATTCCAGATGAACATTGCCTATTCCAACTGAGGATGATCTGCATTCATCAGAAAGGCTGGAGTAACATTATCCAGGTTATCTGTAGCCTAGCTAACCTGTCTCTAGTATTTTTTATGTCTTTTGGTTATTCACTTGAAATGTACAAATTTATTGAATGGCTCCTTTTGCTTAGGTTGAAAAATTATTTTCACCGTGACTTCTTACCAGAAAGTAATTGTCAGTATAAACATTTATCATTTCTGGCTTTTTTTTTTGTGTGTGTGTGTGCTTTATGTGACTGTTTCTTCCAGAGGCTGAAGGAACTGAAACAGAGGGAGTTTGCTCGAAATGTAGCATCTAAGTCACGCAAAGATGAAAGGAAACAGGAGAAAGCGCTCCAGCGCCTGCACAAGCTGGCTGAGCTGAGGAAAGAGGCAACGTGGTAAGTGCACAGCTGCTGAAACCTAAAAAATCCTTGAAAATAATCCCTCTGATGCTGCTGGTGCTGTGGGCCACAGGGGCTGTTGGAGTCCCTCAGATGGAGCCCAGCACACGGCGCGTTGATGGCACTTTTGGAAGCAGTGTGTGTATGGGAATTTGATTCACACTGTGTGCAGAAATGCATGTTGCTTGTTGCTTTTTTCAGTGGAGCTAAAATAGCAGGTATTTTTAGTTTAAAAAAAGACGTGTCTCATCTATATTTCATAAAACCTGGCACATTGGCTGGAAGCTGAGTGAACTGGGTCATGTGTTTGCAGGCTGACACTACTTCATTGATGAGGTGAGGAACACAGTCTGTCTTTCTAGGATGTAACAGATCTCTGTGATGTAGTGTTCAAACTGTTTGCCTGGGAAAGCATCCAGAAATCTAGTCTTACCTTTCAATATAAAAAAAAGATCTAGTTATTGAAATTCGGGTTCTTCTTTTCCCCAGCTCAGCAGAATATTTACCTCCTCTGTAACACTGACTCCTTGCTAGTCACATGTTTATTGCATCTAGGCATACTGTTGAAATTAATACTGAGCTTGCTAAAAAAGACACAGTTATGACACCAATAGGCACTGAAAATCTATGTACTGACTTTTCACAGGGGAATCTTGAGGGGGGGAAAGAAGAAAAGTAGATGAGCAAATGTTTCCTCATTATCCAGCCTTTGTCTTGCCAAATTAACAGGGAAGTCCAACTGAGTGGTAGCTCTTGTTCAGTAATAGTATTTTTCTCCGTAGTTTGCATGGTGAGCAGCCTGCTGAAGCAAAGTCTGTCTGAGCAGGTGAATGGGACATGAATGTTGTGATCTGTTTGGAATGAGCAACATGACACCTGATTTTACATTTTTTACTTTTTATGATAACTCATGTAGAGACTCCTTCTCTTCTGTCAGTGTTTTAAATGTCCAGATTTAGTACTTGAGGATATTAGCTATTATTCCCTCTAAATGGAGTCCAAAATCTAAATTTAGCATATTTCAAGAGAAAGAGGAACTTACTGTTTCCCTTTTTCCATGCTAGAGAAGCACAGATTTTGCAGGTTTTTGTTGTTTCTGTTTTCTTGTGGTTTTTTGTTTTGTTTTGTTTTAAATATCCTCCTTCTAGCTCCTGAAGGAGAATTTGTCTCTGAGCTTTTCCTATTTCAGAATTGCTGTTTACTTTGACTTTGTCTCCTGAGAGGTGTGATTATTGACAGACACTCAGGATTTTTCAAACTGGTATTTTCTATCTAGGCTGGTTTTGCAGAAGTCACCATTTTATTCTGTTTAAGAAAGGAATTGTATGGGTGGTTTAATATATATTTTTAATTTATGAAGAACAGGACAAGGCAAGAGTTCTCATGAGGAATTATTTTCTCATAAAACCTCTGCCTTAATTTCTAGACCCAATAGATTAAGTTTGTCATTCTTTATTTCAGCACTTCTTGGGGTCCTAAATGACACTTGCATGTTTTCCCAGTTACCCATCATCTCGTATTGCTCTGCACTCTAACACAGAATCATTTGGTTAAACTAAAAAAAAAAAAAAAAAAAAAAAAAAAAAAAGAAAAAAAAGTTTAACATAGGTCCATTACTCCTAGTGTTGAGCAGTTCCTGTGGATCCTGGAAAACTGGCAGCTTAAACAGTTTTTGCTTTTCTCTTTGCTTCCTATTAAGTCAAATGGAACAGATGGGAAGAGGACATGAAATGAAGAACAGAAGTAGACAGCGATAATTTGTTTCTCAAGAGGGATGAATCACTCAGTTCACTAGTCAGCTGAAATACTCACCCTGATACTCTTTTTCCATGAAAGAAATTGCTGAGATTGCCACTGGTTGACCTGTGAACACAAACAGGATGGGACCTGCTGGGTGGCTGCCCATGGGCAGAGCAGCAGTCTCTAGGCTGATGACTGAGAAGAGAAGGGGTCTATGAGGCGGTCTCTGCTTTTGTGTATTTTGTAGCACAAAGGAATGTAAAACCTGTGCTATTTGCAGGAACAGCGTGACAACCATGGTGGTCTACCAGGAGGAGGAGCAGTATTAAGGCAGGATGTGTTGGAAAGGTGAACTACCTTGTAAAAATATTAGCCGTTGAGCTGAAAACTTTACATGAAGGAACTGAGGGCAGAATATTTACTTTTTTTTTTTTTTTTTTTTTT